ATTAGGCTTCTACCTGGTAGTCATTCATATATGAGTTTTATTAATATATGTAACATAATTTTATTATCAATATATCGTCTTATGCCCAAGTGAAACAACCTCTTTTGAACACTGAACGCTGGCCTTTGTAAATGATTTCGCTTCACTTATTTCCGAATACTATTCAGCTTAAGATAGTTCATCAGCCAGTCTTAACGAATGGTGTTCTTCATGATTTACCAGTTCAAGAAGGTGTCATGCTCAGACTTGTTTCCACGAGATACGGTTCGGTCAGTAACACTGTTCAGGTATCACTGATTTCTGCTTTTTCTCTTTCCATGTATACGACTGGATGATGCAATCTTACTCGGACTGTGTCCTTACTGGTATAGATCCATTTCTGTTTTTGATTTCATGCATTGGAAGGCAAAATTCATGTATGTTTCACCAAATAGTAGCCATGATCAGACAGTATTTATAATAACATTCAACAAAATTCAGACCTCATGTCTGGTCGGCACGTTTTGTATAAGGTGATGTTTTCTATATCCGTAGACAAAAATTGATCGACATCATTTAAAAATTATTAAACTCACCCTTGTACTTCTCTGAAGTAAAGTTTGAAATCATTTCAAAAATTCTTTCACTTTTGAATAACATCATTAAGGGACGAAGCATTTAGAAGGAATACAGCCAAAATATTATTATTTTCTACGAATACGAGGCGACATTCCAATTTACGACTTCGAAAAATGTGATGATTTTCTTAACTGTCATTCAGTCGTGTGTGAGCTTAATCAGCAGATATAAGATGCAGAATTGTAAGATTTGTATAACGGTAATCAAATCAAATCAGGAGTAATAGTGGCGCTCCTGTGAAACTTGAAACTTATGATGAATTATCATTTCGAGTCCTTCTCCATTCGTCTCAGAAGCACGCTGAACACGATAATACGTGATGTTATTGAAAAGCCTATTTATCCTTCAAATTTATAGGATACTTTTAACAGCCAGCTGTCTATCTGTTTTCGCATAAAATTTGCACATATGTGCGGCAGTTCAAGTAACCACACTCCATGTAGCACACAAAGCACGAGAAGAAATGCATATTGGAGAAAGTAAACAGAGGTGTGAGACAAAGGAATAGTAATAACGAAAAACAATATGGCTTCACTGTAAATCATAAGTCACTAAGAGTGAATGCATCTGCGCCACTGAAAGCGATTTTCAGCCATGTCCCCCAAGTGGAGACTAAGAAAAGGCAACGACGGTTAGCACCGTCTTTTTTTCTTTCAAAGGACCCATTCAGACGGACCGAACACATAAGACTATCCACTGGGATCCAGTCAAGAAGTGCTTTTTCCGCCCTAACACTAAGTGCTATCCCTGCACCTGCGAGTCCTCGCGAGCTAGCTGAGGAGCCTCCTGACACCTTTACGGTGAGTTTTGGAGATTAACCTTGTTGACCAGGTGAGGTCAAGTGAATGACCACACTCGGGTCTTGTATGCGTGTCGCCGAAACACAACATACACCTATGGCTCTAGATTCCAAAGTTCTTGCCAGTGATGCATGTTGTTCGATTTGGCTCCAATATGAAGTTGGTAACATGGATTTAAAAGGCTGTCTAGGGTGTTTCTATGGCTCTCCCCGTTGTTCGCGGTCACAATGTGAAGTGAAGATGACTCATTAGCCTGCAGAATAGTGCTAGCTGTAGTAGAGAAGCAAGATGAGGAAGGTGATGTGAGAAAGGAAGAATGATGCTCAGGAAGGCTTCGAGTGCTTTTAGGATGTGTGTAGGCGGTTGTTACTTCCCGGCTTCCCACATCATGGAAATTGATTGATTCTTCTGAAACCCGAAATAGAAAGAGTGTTGCGTGACCGCAGAGGCCAAGGGAAAATGCTTGAGACCGATCACACGCTGCCTATTTTTGTTTGTTCTTTATTGTTTGGTGTGTCTTAGTAGCATATTTATCACTTCTGCCCTGTGGCACGTCAGCAGGAAGCGCGGTCGTCGTTAATCCGGGCCACGACCGATCCGGGATGTTATTTTGTGAATTTGTTTGAATCGTAGTATTGGAGTGGGTAGATGCTTTTTGTCTAACCGCCATTCAAACAACCTTTCTGGCATGGCAGGACCTCAAGCGACATACGTCTCAGCCAGTATAGCATGTTGGGTCATTGCGGTGTTCAAGCCCGACCACAACGTCAATGAAGCAGCTTTCGGTCGGGAATTTAGAGCCAGGGTTTTCAGCCAGCATCAGATAAGAGACAAGTTGAAGACTTATTCCTGGGTTAACCATAGCAGATGAGGTTAAGAAAGATCACATCAGCTAGGCAGGTGTTTGTCTAAGGAGACATCAATTCAGATGAAATGAATGGAAGATAGTGAAATAAACGTAATAACCAAAGAGAAATTCCCTTCAGTATCGACCAACACCATCAGGAGACAGAAAACCCTCAAAAATTCTAACTCTCCAACGAAAACAGAAGACCTACTTTTTATAAGAATATCAAGTCTGTTGAAGTTGAATTTGTGAATTGAATCCTCCCAGAAGCACTTAGGACAGACACCGGGACGTCAGCTGACATATTTACGTCATCAATTCAATGCGCGAAAGTATTCAGGTAAAATAAGTCACATGTAAATCAAATCTCGAAGAAATGCAACACTAGTGGACGGAATACGAAATCGTCAGCACTTAACCTTAGCTTTATTGACTTTGAAATGACCTTAATAGCACTGACCACGAAGTAGTTTAGAAAGTGGTGTGTCATTCAGAATTGCATTGCTGGAAAATGTTTAGAAATCACGGCCAACAGCTTCATGATGGTGCAATTCACTATGATAGTGGCATTGAAGCGTTGTAATAAAACAAGGTCGTCTACTAATATTTATGTTGTTACTGATTATCATGGACTGAATCATACAATAGACGATAGCTTTGGGAAGATAGACACTTGTATAAAAACACATCATCGTAGTTCTGCGATTCTCGAAGGAATTGTGTCACATGCCTTACAAGCGCGATATACAAGTGGAAACCAAGCCAGAAGGGTTAAAGAAGCCAAGATGTCTTTCACTTTGCTTCACCAACTGCAAATGTCCAAATGAAGTTCTTCTTTTCCACTCAGCTGGCGAGGTCATTTTAACTACAGGCGACATGGATGAGGACACCTATCTAAAGATACAGAAACGGAACAAACGTTGATAACTGTGGAGTTTCACCACACTTACGATGATGAACAAGATTCAAATCTTTAGCACTAACTTCAAGTCACTGCTTCTTTATTGTTCAGAGACTTATCGAACTGAAGAAAGCATTCAAGATAGACTACAGAACTTTGTATACAGATCCTTTTCCTCTGTAGGGAATATCGATAAGATTCGGTACAGTAGGAATAAGCAGCAAGAATCAGTCAACCAACACTTCATTTTACTCATCTAAGTGAAAACTTGATTTGTTTCACATGTAATGTCCATTGTGTTGTTATAGTGACTATCACAGTGTTTGCAAGCTATGGTCTATTTTCCCACATTTGCTTTTGAAGTAAGTTTTCATTTTGCGTATATTTTTACCTGCCTTTAAAATTACAATTTCTGATTAAATATTTATTGCATCAGTAGTCATATTCTTACCGTTAGCATCCCCTGAAGAAAAAAAACGTGTTTATTGTAAACGGAGTGTTATATGACAACGGTCCGCTGTTTCAATATTGGGGATATTGAACTTGAATTTAATAAAGCTGATCAAATTAACTAAAAGTGCATAATGAGTTCTCATTTCAAATCCTGTTCAATTCGTTTTAAATGTGGTCTCAACATCTAGATAGGTTATGTGATTATTATGAGTGAGAGTAATGAGGTTATGTAATAAGATGAATAGTTCAATAAGTGAGTTGTGATTAGGATGTACGTAGAAACAAATGAGAATATGCAATTATGTAATGGTTATGAAAATTACAGATATTATAGGGAGTTCGAAAAAAGCAAATAAATTTAAATTTAAATGTATGGTGTGGCTTTTAAAATGTATTAACTGCACTTCTTTCAAGCATGAAGCAGTCATGTATACACTCGCAGGTTCTTTAGTCTTGTTGTCAGCATCTAAGCGAATTATCATCTCTGCGCCATTATATCTGCTTTCTTCTTTTATTTTTATAAAGTTATTGCAGTTTGACAAATTTCATGCTGCCAGTTTCAAGTCAGAAGACACCATGAAATAACTAGCAAAATATTATCCCTTTCAACATTTTCACTACTGTTATAGCTTAGTACCACAAAGTTATCATTTCAGTGCCTTTATACTGCTTCATTTCTTTCCATCAGTGCAAACGTCAGTCAGAATGTCGAAGTTATCTTCTAAAGAACTGAACGCACAAAATACAAGTTATTCATTAGAAAATCATCTTTTACTTACTAAATTGCTCTATAGAATTAGCCAGCACATCATTCTTGTAAATTTTATATCAAAAATAAAACTAAAGGAAACTTCTGATTTTTTTGAAGGGATGGATATGCCTTATATTTATCTTAGCATTAAACTGCATTCTTCTCCTGAAGAATAATTTTCATCATTTGAAGTTTGATTGAGAGAAAAAATATTTCATACTGCATTTCACGGAACATACTGACGACTATTTCAGGAATTACATGGCTGTATTGACCTCAGACTCAGTTAGGTACAATGTGATACCTGACACTGAGAGTAAACGTTTTCCTCAATAATACTGTTTTTTGATGGTGAATGACATTCCTTAATTTAAAACATATCATGCCTCAAATATTTTCAGCTGGTGTAATCACAAATTATAATATCAATAAAATGATGCTGTTTCGCATGTTAATCTTAATATGTTTAAGGAATAAAGCATTTATTTAACTGGGTGGTTTTCAATTATGTCAGAATTCAAAATCTAAGCAAAACTATAGAATCTCTTCACTCTGATAAAATTTTAATGCTTACCGAATCTGCCTGATGCAAAAATGAATTTATACATCTCGATTTAGAATAAACATTGAAATGTCTAAAGAATTCCAGTAAACATCTTTATAAATTAAAGCAAACGAATACCTGCTTTTGAAGTGTTCATCGCATTATAATTATTGATTGTTTGATGAAGCTTTACATTGGTTTAAATAAAAGAAACTGGCCATTGAAGTGTATCTTGCCGTTACCTACTCATGAATTTCAGCCACACTGCAGGTCTCACGGACAGCATTCATATAACATTCATAATGACTTTCACAACTCTGAGGAACTCAATTACTGCATGGTGAATTCTGTTGTGACCACAATAGCTCAATTAAAAATAAATAAATATCTGTCACGTGCCTTCACCAAAAATCTAACTTCAGTGATGAGATTCATAAGAAGCGTAAGCTCTTTATGTGAATATCTGCACATATATTCATAGATGAAACACATCTTTTCTGCAAATAGCCCATCGCTAAACAGAAACCCAACGCCAGAAAGTAAATATTTGCTATACTCAATTTTCATCTTACCTCGTTCTGTGCAGACATTTGTAAAATATCAATCATTTTATTTTTCCTCATTCACTTATCTTGCAAACGAATAAAAGATATTAGGTCTGTTAGAAATGAGAACCATAAATATATATATATATATATATATGAATTAGGAAGAGTTTAAAAAATGACCTCCCGAAAGTTTGATGCATATACAAAGTGTAATACAAAGGTGAAAAAGAAAATTGTGATGACACCAAGACATTGCTGATAATTAAGTTTTAAGATTAGAACTAATTAAGATAGATAAGTTGAAAAAGTTGCTTTAATGAGTATAAATCTGAAATCTACATAAGTATATAAAATAACCCAACATCGGAGACGAAACGGAATACATATTGTTTTGTTGTGGCTTATTATCACTTCTAAAGCAGTTAGAGATTTCTTCATACTTTCGGATGTTGGAGATAAAAGTGAGCATCATTATGACACATTATGACATACTAATGCTCTATGTAGTCTTCTTTACATAAAGGATAATGATACTTCATTCTGTCTTACAAAACTAATAATAAATAACCTACATTTGCAGCTCCAAAGAAACAAATGAATATGAAGATACATACAACAGTTGTCAAATTCCACAGTTCATCTTTGAGCCAATAGAGAAATTCGAACGTGAAGGAGATCGCTTTTAGGAAGTATGTCCTGTAACTGAACTATATCAAAACCGTATTCTTACAATTCCAATTAGTCAATACTTTGCAATACCCTTCGTGACTTTCCCCTTTCAGTGTCATAGACATATGCCAGTTATTCGTAAGATAAACACGCACTTAATTTGAAGAATTTGACAACTTGAAATCATACTCAACCAAACTATTTTAAAGGAGTTTCATTTCATCTTAGGTAATCATTTCAGTGAGAAACCACAGCAGAATATACTGAATGACTACTGCTGTTCTTCAATTTGTCCATATTTTAATCAAACGTCGAAGCATTGAAGAAAACTGTTGTTGATTGATGTCAAACAAACTGTGTCTTATTCCAGAATTATAGTTATACTAAAAAAGACAATAAGCTAAATCAAATTTATGTTAAATGGTTACTCGAATTACCACCAACACCTTCAGTGTAATATGTCAAGAGAATTATACTAAAGGAATATTAGGATGCACCTGTCCTGATGGTTCACTTTAGTGAAAATGACGGAGATGTCAAATACGGGACCAATGAATATGGCTTTATAAGTGGTTATGAGCTATTTTTAATGTTAACCTCTGGATGACTTGTCGAAGAATTCTAAAGATACAAATATATATATATATATATTTATGAATCCGTACCGAAGTTTGTGTAACCTGATAACAACAAAGTGATTGTTAAGTAAAAAAACTTCCAGTAAGCATATTCAAAAATTACACCTTTTAAATTAATATACTGATATAACTGTGAACGGACATGCGCCATACTATTTGCATTTTTGCATTAGTTGGTAGTTCATGAAGAATTCATTCAGCAGATGTAAATGGAACGAGTTCTTATAAGAGATTTGATTTTCTAAACTGGTAATAACTACTGATTTATAATTACTTCCGATTGAAAAGTGATATAAAAACTGAGCATTCATGCTGGTCCACTACTTTAAAGCTTATCTTCGACTCTACCAGACGAATTTCATCATGCTTACAAGATTGACCAGGAAATGATTTCAACTAGAGAATCATTGAAATTCCATTATGGGTAAATTTTGTTTTGATAAAGTCTCACAGTGTTATACAGTAATGTTTACTGATGACCCCGTTTCGAGCACAATTCATTGCTGCTCATAATCATATCAAGGTAATCACACGACTTCCTAAATTCATTTATATAGTTCCATTGTTTTTCTCTTGATTTTCACTTGATTTGATTGGTAATAGTATTTTCCATATTTCAGGTATGAGTGACGAGTCGTTCCTATTGCATGTGTTGGGTGTAGACTCGATGAACAAGGATTCAGTAATCAACCTCTCTCTCTACACCTACCTAGATTACTTTTTAGAATTTTAACCCTCTCCCACCCTATTGTGTGGTTGTGTTAGCGCATGCATTGAATTTGCTGAGCTTTTTTCTAAATTACTTATCTTCTCGGGGTCAACCATTCTTACCTTAGCTAAATTTTTATGCTCTGACAATCTGACTACCCCTGACCTACTAGTTTGACCTATGTAGTTGACCTCGCAGTCATTGCATGGTATTTTGTAAATAATATTATTTTGTCTAATTGGGTCAACTGGGTCCTTTAACCTACAGAGCTTGTCCCTGAGTGAGTTTGTAGGTTTAAATGCCACCCAAATTCCTGCTTTATTCCTACGTAGTGTCTCAGATGTCCCCTCTTTATATGGTATAACTGTGGATGACTTATATTCTTTCTTATTTATGTTATTATTACTAGTTTCACAATTATTTTTATTTTGTTTTTGGCCTTTAGTGATCTTCCTAATGAATTTTATAGGATAGTTATTCAACACCAACGCTTCTTCTATCTGTTTTAATTCATCATTTAGATCTTTTTTGTGCACTAAGTAGCACAAATAATAGGAATAAATAAGGGTAATGATTGAAGAAGACATTGATATCATCAGTACACCATAAAATAATCATCTTCTTTCGTTAATGTCGTCGGTGTTATAGTGGTTAGGGCGTTTTTCGACCATGCACATGTTCCGGCTTTCAATCCCATCCCGACGCACTCCTTTACTCGCTGAAACAAAATCCTTGTAAAGAAATAATGCTAGAAATGAGGTTGGCAACCTCATCCTGTAAAATAAATTCTTGAACAGAAACTTCAACTTAATAACTTGGAGCCCTATATTCTACTGAGGAAAGTGAAAGTAAAATAAAATATTTCTAAACACCACAAGACTTACCATCTTATCACGGTTTTATGAACAAAAAATTGATGTATGCTTGAGTACAGAACTAATACAAAATCCTGATCATAGTTTTGCGAACAGAAAAAACCATTACAACAGATAAAGGTCGAAATATTTTCGACAATTGAACAAATCGCTAATCAATGCACATGTTTTGGAAACAAGAGTAGTTACCGAGAACCAGCTTAGTGTTCAAATTTATTTCTTGAGAGGTAATCAAAGATGCAGCGGACAGAATGTTCAGACAGTCAGATTAATAATTATGGCAAATGCAAGATGACTGCACAAATTTCTTTCGAACACAGCTTCGATTACTCATAAGAAAATTGTGCCTGTAAAGCTTTATGCTAAAACTAAAGATCGAATAACTTTGTCAAGACAGGTGACAGAATGACTGAAAACAACTTTGGTCTATTTTTGCTGTCCCAAAAATAATTATGAACGATGCAGGGTGTTTGAATGAGAAAAGTGTCATGATTGGTGTTTATCGTAAATTACAAAAATTTCAACTTCTTTCAGTCCAGTGACAAAGATTGATAGATGGTAAACTAAATCACTAAAAGGATTGAAACTAAAAGTTAGTATATGCAAATAGTTGTGTTCTCTGAGCTGGTTGGTTGAATTGCGAACCTTTCATCATCCTTCTGGACAACATCTTCAGCGCAAGTTTTAGCATAAAATGAACTGATTTTAATTTTCCATGAATGTTGGAATTGCGTATCCTTGTTATCATCTTCGTGACTGATAGTCGACTTACATTTGTATCGATCATTTTTCATTGTACTTTAATGTTTCAAATCGAAATAAGTAAAAAATGATGAAAACAAACGTAAATTGACTACCAGTCAGAAAGATGGTAACTAGGATACGTTATTCTATCATTCATGGAGAATTTATATCAGTTCATTTCATGCTAAATCTTGCGATGAAGATGTCGTCCAGAAGGATGACAAAAGCTCCACAATTAAACCAACCAGCTCGGAGAAAACAACCAATTGCAATCATTCACCCACACCACACATCTTCTCTATGAACGACAAAGATGTATACGTGAACAATAAATCAATAATTTTCTTATTCGCCAATGTACAGCTGATGAAACAACTAATTTTATATGAGAAAACGTTATTAGACTAAACATCCGTGTTATTATTTCTTCATCTTCCGTGAAAGAAACTCTTGTAAAATACCCATTGAATGTTTACTTCTCAAATAGAAATGTAATCACCAGGCTTGTTGACAGTATGACTACGAAGCCATCCCCCAAGACCGATAGTTTCCGAATTTTTCGTCGCAGAATATGCTATGGTGAATGTTTGAAAGATATAACTAGTAAACTGGAATTATATTGATAATATTTCATCGATGATATTAGACAGCTGAAAAGGACCAAAGAAAGGACTAGACACGTCGCACTAGTTACTAGTGTACAATCAAAATATATCGTCGATTTTAAAAAAATTCTTAAAACAGTGAAAATCTTTGGCAAATTAATTGATCTGCAGTCTTCAATAAATCTTGATTTTGAATAGAAAAGAAATAACAATTTTCATTCTTAGATGACTTTACGACTAGGAAAGCAAATGATACAATAGGACGGAGTAGGTATAAAGATGAGTTTACCCATTTTATGGGATTTATACCCACGAAGTATAAACGCACTTCAATGTCAGTGATTACAGCATAGAATTAGATGAATCATCTTTAAAGACTATGTTAATGACAAGTTCAAAATTATTTGAGAATCATTTAGTAAGATGGTTATCTAGAAATGTTTTCTTTTTGGTAAAAATACGAATTTCCCGTCGAGGCAAGTTAATATGTCAACAGCTCAAAATAAGTCCTTATTCCTAAATCTACAGTTTCTTAAGGTTAACATTTGTGAAATAGCTACACAATATCCAAGGAACATGTTTTAAACAGAATTCACTGCATCAGAGGTACGCTGTCTCTTCAAAATTACTACAATTTTTCTTCCTAGAAATAAGGATGAACTAAATAATTACGGTGGGATCATATGTATCTTACTGTCACACAACTTACATACAGCTCACTGCGGTTGCACAAAGCACTGTTCATCGCTGTCATCTTACATGGTCAAGTAACGGACAAACAACTCCATGTGTAGCTATTAATGGTATTTCTCAAAGATACTGAAATACTTTAACATTACCTACTTTTTCTCGATTAATTTTACTTTTGCTTTACAGGTTCGTTTTTTTTATATAGTTGAATCCATCAGAGTTT